AGGGGGGGACTGGCTCACCCATGCAACGAGCCCATCCCTCCTCTGCCCCGTCCTCCCCCCAGCCTCACCTCCTTTCCAGCAGCTCCCGGTGCCCCCCGGCTGGAGAGCTGCAGTGCTGTGCGCTGCCCCTGTGGGGGAATTGGGGGCGAGGGTGTCTGTGGGGAGCACCCCCTCCCGCAGCATCCCCCCGCTCCCCCCCAGGCAGAAGGGCGCTGAGACCTGGCAGCTCAGCTCACCGGCCGGGGCTGGGGCGGGTTTGCCTGCAGGGTTCCCGGAGGCCCTATGCCCCAGGGAGGAGGGGGAGGAGGAGGAGGAGGAAGAGGAGGAGGAGGAAGACAGGCAAAGGAGCCCAAGACCTGTCACATTCACACTGGGAAATGAGATACTGGGGCTGGGCCCGGGCCCGGAGAGTGAGTTTCAGAGCCCCGATGCCGAGGTCTACATGCACTTCATGAGGAGCCACTGCTGCTATGACGCCATCCCCACCAGCTGCAAGCTGGTTGTCTTCGACATCTCCCTGGAGGTGACAAAGCGGAGGATTGGCGGGGACGAGCAGGGGGGGAGTGGGCTTGGGAATCCCCTGACCCCCTCCCCACTCTGCCAGCAGATCAAGAAAGCCTTTGTGGCGCTGGTGGCCAACGGGGTGCGTGCCGCCCCACTTTGGGACAGCAAGACACAGAGCTTTGTGGGAGAGTGCCGGCAGGCCCCCCTGGACCCTTCCCCTGCCTGGCAGCGAGGGGTGCGGGCAGCACTGCCAGCCCCACGTGTCTCCGCAGGGATGCTCACCATCACCGACTTCATCAACATCCTCCACCGCTACTACCGCTCGCCCCTGGTGAGTGTGGCAGGGGGGGCACGGGGCAGGCATGGGGCAGGGAGGGGATGTCCCCACCTCTCTGGGTTCCCTCTTCCCTCTCCTGGTCCTGTCTTCATCACTAGGCCGTGACTGGGGGAATGCTCTGGGCCAGCCCAGCATCCACTTGGTGCCCCTCTGTCTGGCACCCAAGATGCGATCCCCGTGCCCAGGGCAATGGGGTGGGATGCCCAGGGAAGTGGGCAAGGCCCCAGAGCCCCTCCATCCCCCATGGGGCCACCATGACCAGGGCATCTCCCTGCCCTCAGGTTCAGATCTACGAGGTGGAGGAGCACAAGATTGAGACCTGGCGAGGTAAAAAGCAGGGGGTGATGGGGGTGGCTGGGCTGGGGATGTCACGCAGGACATGCAGGTGGGCTCTGGGGGTGCGGGGCTGTGCGAGAGGCCTGGGGGACCCCCTCTCCCACCTCTCTCCCTTGGCAGAGGTGTACCTGCAGGGCTCCTTCAAGCCGCTGGTCTACATCTCCCCGAGCAATAGGTGAGTGCCTGCTGCTGGGGGAGAGCACACGCCAGGGGGGCTGTGCCCAGGATGAAGCCCTGTCCTCCCCTCCATGGTGTCCATGTCACCCACAGCCTCTTCGACGCTGTCTACTCCCTGATCAAGCACAAGATCCACCGCCTGCCCGTCATCGAGCCCATCTCGGGCAACGTCCTGCACATCTTGACACACAAGCGCATCCTCAAGTTCCTCCACATCTTTGTGAGTGCCGGGGCTGTGTGTGCACACAGGCAGTGGGTGTGTAGGGGCACAAGCAAGTGTGTTGGGATGCATGTAGGTGCCAGCCCAGCCCTGCCCTGCCCCACTGCAGGGCTCCACCATCCCCAAGCCGCGCTTCCTGAAGAAAACGGTGCAGGAGCTGTGCATCGGCACCTTCCGCGATGTGGCTGTCGTGCCCGAGACCGCCCCCGTCTACACCGCCCTGGAGATCTTCGTGGACCGCCGCGTCTCCGCCCTGCCTGTCATCAACGATGCTGGTACCTGAGGAGGGGACCAGCAAGCCCCCCATCTCCCTCTGCCTGTGCTCCAGCCCCATCCCCACCCAAAAATCCCCTTTCCCTCCAGCCTGGCTCTTGGGGCGCAGGGGGAGCACTGCGGGTGGTCCTCAGGGCCCCCTCCCCAGCCCCTGTGCTCTCTCTCCTTGCAGGGCAAGTGGTCGGCCTCTACTCCCGGTTCGATGTCATTGTGAGTACCCTGTGCTTTTGCGCGCCCGGACATGAGTGTGGCCCCTTGCACGCTGATGGTGGGGTGCTCACACCGTGCCTGTGCCCGTGCAAACCTGGCCCACGTGAACCCATGCACGTGCCAGCACAGGTCTGCCCTGCATGTCATCAGAGCTCGGTGTCCCCCTCAGTGCCAGCACAATGGGGTGCGAGGACATGTTGGGATGCTGAGCAGGGCCACCTCTCCCACAGCACCTGGCAGCCCAGAAGACCTACAACAACCTGGACATCAGCGTGCGGGAGGCGCTGCAGCAACGCACCACCTGCCTGGAGGGGGTCCTCACCTGCTACCCCCACGAAACCATGGAGGACATCATTGACCGCATAGCCAAGGAGCAGGTGAGCAGCCGGGGTGCCTCACACCAGCACCAGCCCCCCCTGCCCGCTGCCCGGCCTGCCTGTGATGCTCTGCCTGCACCCACAGGTCCATCGCCTGGTTCTGGTGGATGAGAACCAGTACCCGCGGGGCATCGTCTCCCTCTCCGACATCCTCCAGGCCCTTGTGCTCACTCCCGCAGGTATCGATGCTCTTAACTCTTAGCCCGCGACGCTCCGTCTCTCTCCACTTGCACCCTCCATTTCTCTCCACTTCAGGTAGGCGCCGTCCCCTGCCACTGCGCGCCTGTCCCCTCCCCGCTACTGGGTCACCTGCACATCGTCACCTCCCTGCTCGGGGCGCCCAACTCCACCCCAGCCAAACCAGCCCTGGGGGATCAAGGAGGCTGGGGCTGGGGTCCAGCAGTGCCTGGTGCCCAGGTGGGGATGGCAGGACCTGGATGCTGCTTGTCCCCAGGGACACATGGATCACAGGGGATCCCTTCTTGGGTCCTGATCCCCGCTGTCTGTGAGGAAGGATGGGGGCACCTGCCACAGAGACACCCCCAGACCCCCATCCAGGCAGTGTGTGGGATGCAGGTTTTGCAGGTCCCTGGGCTTTGGGCTGGATGAGGGGTTTGGGGTGTGATGCACCCCAAGACAAAAGCACTTTTTTGACCTCGCCTCAAAGCCGCCCCTGAGACCCGTGCCCCTCCAGTGCCATTCCCAGGGGTCACAGGGGACAGACCCCCACTCGCACACCGCTAGCCACGTGCACAGCATGGCCAATCCATGGGCCCTGGCTGGAAGAGCCCACTGCCCCTCCACCCACGGTGACCCCAAAACTGCTTGCTCCAGGGACAGGGCTCACTCCCAGGTGGCACTGGGACTGCGCAGCTCTGCCACCTGCACCTGGCTCTGCTCGCCCACTGCCTGGTGAGTCCTCACTGGCGATGGGTGGGCACGGCGCTGGCACCCACTGTGGCGCCCATTTAGGGGTGAATTGGGGAGTGGAGAGCTGGCCCTGGTGCCCAGCTGCTTCCTAAAGGTAATGATACTTTTTTGGGATGGTGGTGGGGAACAGCCCCATGCCCACCAGTTCCCCCAGCAGTGCCTAGTTGATCCACACAGAAGGAGACTGGGAGTGGTGTGAGTTAACCATGCCAGAGAGGGGACGCCCTCCATTTCCCCATCACGGTGCCTTCATTCACCCCATCGCTGGTGCCCACAGGGGTGCCTGCCGGGGGGCCACTGGGATGTCCCCCTCTGGGCCGATGCCTCCCTCCTACTCCAGGGCTTGCATCCAAGCCAGGGATGGAGGCAAGACCCTGCTGTCCCCTGTGCTGTCCCCATGGCTGCTGGGGCTAGGCAGAGGGCCATGGTGCAGGGTGCCCAGCCCAGCACTGGTGCCCGCCGGGGGCTTATGGCCTCATGCACTCTCTCGCCCCGCAGGCATTGACCGATCCTCACTCTGAAGACACCAGGGAAGTGCCGTCGTCTTGTCCGACTTGGGGGTCTCTTGCGTGGCCCTGGGGCCATGAAAGGAGGCTCGGCCATGGAGGCTCTCCACTGGGAGGGGCTGCCTGCCCACCCCGGTCCTGGGGCTCGTCTTGAGTCCAGGGCCAGGTCCTGCCGGCCTCAGGGAGGCAGGGAGCGGGGAAAAGGGGGCCTGGGGGGGTGCCTGGCACCAGCAACTCCCGCCTCCCCCCAGTGGCCGGTAGCATGGGCTCAGCTGCACACACAGGCTTGTTTATTGTAGGGTCACGCGCGGCTGGAGCTCCCTGGCAGAGGCACAGCCTGTGCCAGAGCTGGCGCCAGGACGGGCACTTGCACGGGGACCCTGTGCACATTTCGGGGTGGGTGGGGGGTATTTATTTATTTGCTGGTCTGTTCAGCCTTGTAATAAAGCAGCCTGCTTCAGGCACCGCCACCTCACTTTTCTGGGGTGCAGCCGGGCATGGCTCCTCTGGAGAGAGCCGGGCTGAGGAGGGGGTCCCAGCTGCTTGGCAGGGCTGTGGCACCCAGCCTGGGATGCCCCCTGGGACCCGTTGCAGCGAGGGTGGTGTGCGCAGAGGGTGGCACCTCTGCCCATGTGTGTGCAGCCAGGGGCATGAGGACATTGGCTCACTGCAGATAGCCTTGATGCTCCACTGTGGCAGTGGCTAACGGGTCCCCTCGGGGACACCCTGGGGACAGCAGCCATGGTGCCAGCAGGGTTTCTGCCTGCTGCTTCCCCCCCAGGCCAGCTGGGCTCCCCAGCAGCAGGAAGGTGAAGGGGGTTGACCATGGGGGTGCCCTGTACCCCAGCCCTCCAGGAGCCTGGGCAAGCGGCAATGCATCCCCTGCCTGTGGTTGCTGCCAGCTCTGAGCCCCTGCGATGGCCCTGGGTGTCAGCTTTACATCCCCTCTTGGGGACCGGGGTGGCTGAGCTGATCCTTTCCCCAGTGCTTCGCTCGGAGCAAGTCCTGCCCCTGCTCCCGTACCTCCGTATCAGCATCTCGGTGAAATAACGGCTGATAGCAAAAGGTCCCGGGTGCTCCACACCCCACCATGTGCTGGCTGGCTCTGCCAGGGGACACAGTGCCAGCGCTGGGTGGTGCCAGGCCCCCTCCCCATCATGGGGGCATGTACTGTATTATTGCTCTGCTTGCCCGGGTCTAGGGCTGGCTCCATCCCTTGGGACCAGGTTGCAAATCCCAAACCCCCACCGGCGGCTCCATCCTCCCCAGGGCAGCAGGGGGGGAAACTGAGGCACGGAGAAGCGGCTGAGAACAAGGTCAGCTGTTCAGAGAGGACACAGATGTCCTGGCTCCAGGCACAGATCCACGCGCAGCTACACAAGGACGGGACGAAGGAGACACCGAATGGCTGCAAGCCCCCTCCCCACACCCCTCCCCAACCCTGGCAGAGCTCCTGGGTCCCTGACACAGCCCAGCTGGGCACGGGATGGGGGGACACAACCCCTCGCAGTGTGTGAAAGGCACAGCAGTTCCCCAAGCCTCCTGCTGATTTGAGGTAGGGGGACAGTAGTGCCTCAGGGGCGATTTGGAGGCACCTCTCATGCCCCCCTACCTTCTCCACAGTGGGGCTGGGAGCCCCCCCTGCTCCAGTTGGGCAGGGTGTGGGTGCTGGGGTGGGTTTGCCTTCCTGGCCCTCTTTGTGGGGCAGTGGGGGTCCCTGCTTGGCACCCAGGGTGGGGGGGTTGGCACGCAGTCAGGGGGCCCCTGGGCGAGCGATGAACTCCAGGTTGATGGGCTTGTCGGCCACCAGGACGATGCGGGACACGGATGTCACCTCCACGCCGCGAGGGTCCGGCCGCACCTCGAACGCCTGGATGATCTGTAGGGAGAGGGCGGGTGGCAGTGCCTCGGGGACTCCCAGGGGCCCCCATCCCAGCTCGTGGTGACCCCCAGGGTGAGGGGTCTCTACTCACCCTGGCGAGGGCCAGGTGCATCTCCAGCTCGGCGATGCGGCGGCCGACACAGGCGCGGACCCCGTAGCCGAAGGGGATGGAGCTGAAGGGGTGGTGGGGGGAGCCATGGCCCCGGAGCCAGCGCTGGGGCAGGAACCGCTCGGGCTCGGGGAAGTAGGTCTCGTCGTGGGACATCGCGTAGTGTGCCAGGACAAAGAGGGTCTGCGGGGCAAGAAGGGGGGACTTAATGACCCCTGCCCGGCCCCACCAAGCGCAGCGGGGGTCCCCCCATGGCAGCACAGCCCCCACTCACGTTCTTGGGGAAGAGGTAGTCTCCGATGACGATGTCCTTCTCATAGAAGACACGGGCGTTGGTGGGCACCACGGGGTAGACCCTGGGATATGGGGAGTGTTCGTGAGGGAGCAGGACCCATCTGCGGACCTCAGAGGGAAACAGACATGGG